GTGATATTTGGCTGCCTGTCAGGTTAAACAACAACAACATGAATACTACCTCCAATGCTAAACATCATATTTAAAAGGAAATTTTAGGCAAGAATGTAGCTACATATAACAGGGTGCCTTTCTATTTTGCAGAAAGAAAATGACTTTAAATTTTGCCAAAGACTGAATGTGTGAGTTTGACATCTTAAACCTGTACAATTTTGGCTCCAATTATTTAAACTTTGCTTCACAGAACTGTTTTACATTAGCGCTATCATGTAAGTTCTTTATTACAAATTATCAAAATACTTAGCTTCCTATTAATTTTTACTCTCCTGTCCTGTGAAATATTGTTTAGCAGGAAGTTTAATTTTCTGTTCGTTACTGCAACGCCATTATTATAACATGTTTGAAAGTAATTCAGTGCTTCACAGAATACAGGGAATTAAGAAGGAAGTCATCACTACAATGTTTTCTATGAGTCTGAGTATTCTTAAGTCTCATTATTTTTCCCTAACAAGGAGTTCATTGTAGTAATGATTTATTCAGGGAATCTGAAATTATGTTTCTTTTAAAAATCAGGTCACCCAAGAACACCAAAACTAGACAAGGCATTAAAATACATTTAATGAAACTTCCAACAAATGAAACTGGTGGGACACAAAGCTTTTCAGCATGAGTTGTAGTTCAAACTGCTTATTAAGATAACCTCCTGTGGAGCAGTTTACCTCTCATGTTGGTTTTTATAGCCTTTCCTGTCTTGTTTTCATTTGGCAGTAAAAATACATTCTGTCCTGTTTTGCAAAACCTGGAACTAAGAATAACTTAAGCAGCACATAAAAAGTTTTTTAAGTTGTTTCATGTGACAAATATTAAAATAATGATCAAACATTTCTGGGACTTCACTTATTGCCAAATTCAGTTAGCCACCCAGAAAAATGTAGGAAATTCTTACAAATATACTAACTAGGTCTGATATTTATGTTGGTGGGAGATCTGAATGAACAGAAACAGAAAAAAAACCTTAATACTTTGGCCCAGTTAGATGCTTCCAAAAAACTTACAGGAAGTTTCCTATATGTGTACAATCTAAATATTACCTCTCTTCGTTTTCTTGCATCTTTGAATGGGTTTGGTAGCTGTGCTCTGTTTCTCCATATGTACCCATGCAACCCAGTACCGATGTTTCTGTGTCATTTTGTAGTTTAACATGACTATTTTGTAATCTTACATTCTCATGCTCCAGTTTGTGAATAGAAGCTGTGAAATTTCCATGTTCTTTGTTAGATAAATCTATACTCTGTGAAAGGAAATAAAACCATCATTAAATAGTTATTTTTTCCACAATAAATAGATGTTAGTATTTTTAACAAGCAAACACAAAACAATGTTCTATGCTAAAGAAAGACCTAGCTACCATATATAATCATGCAGCACTTATAGCAAACCAAGAGAATTGCCTCCAGAAAAAAAACACTGTAGATAAATGGAAAAGAAGGGATAACAGCCTCTATAACACAATAAAACAAATTAAAATTTCTCAATAAACATGCATTCAAAATATTATTGTTGTAAAATCATGGCTTGCTTTGTAAAACTTATGACATAAAAGCAACCATAACTGCTATAGCTGCAGACTGTATTGCTGTATTGCAGACTGTATTGCTCTCTCCAGTAACAATTTCACCAACAATAACAAGAAAAATTATAGAAGTTCATTACTACACTAGATACAGGGTATGTCTACAGGCACAATTTAATATCAGTTTCAGAAACAGTAAAGTAAAGCCACATTAGCACAGTGCTCTCCGTCTGTGTTACTAAACCCTGCTTCTCAGTTGGGTTAGCCCACACGGTATACAAGTCAAAATACTGAAAGTGCAACATGTGCACTGCGGCCACGGGCTAAAGAGACCCATCCATGAGGATATCAAGAGGGGAAGATGGAGATTAGCTCTGGAAGTTGACTAGTCAGGATACCCCTTTCCTTTCTTGTCCTATCACTTATTCCGTGAAGCCTATGCTGCACACCTGAGCTAGCTGATTTGGAACTACCTCTCTGCAGAATACTGCATTGCATTGTGTAAATACATTTGCAATAACAGTATACTGTCATCAACAGAAAATTCTCAAAAGATTTATCAGATTATACACAAAAGACTAAAAACCCATGCATTTTATTAAGTTGTGCTTTCATATATTTCTAGATTTACCTTATTCTTTTGGAACCCAGCAACTCATGAGTATTAAGGATTTGGTTCTTAGTATACTGCTAGCACAACTGGGCTCCTGCACCTCAAAGCTTGTCTATTCCTTGCATTAACTGGTCTGATGTCTCTTCCTGTAAACCTTGCCTTGCTCAGCTAGTTTTAGGGGAAATTCATGAGCCAAGCTGGCATGGAAGTGCCAGAAAGGATAAGAAAATTTAACATTTTATGCAAGGATGGGGAGCAGGGGCTCAGCTCCATCTCCCAAGTGGAGAGGAGTGGCAGAACAGAGGAAGGAGACTGCTAAGTCACCCTACCACTAATAACTCTAGAATCAGCAGTACAGTTATAATGGCATGAACCCCAACACTGAGCTGGCACAGCTACATTGCTTTTGAAATCTAAACAAGTAACCCTGCCTGATGATGCGTTACACCATACTGACTTAGGCTGGCACTAGTTTGAGGGTTCTTTGTAGTGCTCTACTGTACTGTACAAACACATCTGTAAAAATCTCTCCAGTTCCTGCAATCTTAATATCAAATACCTCACAATCTTTCATGTTTAGATCCTCACAACACACTAGTAAAATAGGAAAGAATGATTAAGTCCACAAACACATTGATATGTGTAGTGATCTTGGTGTATCTAGTAACTGGATTTTACTTTGTTAAAATTTAACAAACACGTGGTATCTACAAGGATTCCTGTCAGACAGCTCTTCTCAATCTTCATGAAGAATATCACTGTAGAGGAGAGCTAGACATGCACATCATCTATGTTTCCACAATAATATATCATATATACAAATACATGTATCCATAATTTTGTATATGTATGTATAGGTAATACATCACTGATAGACATATATGCTATTTTAAGGGTGTGGAAAAATTTGATATTCTTTCATGCATTTGTTAGTCTACAGTAAGACAATTAATAGGCTACAAATCCCCCAAAGATGTATTTACTGCAGTATTTACAAGCAACTTTCCAGTGTTTTTTCTAGTGATAGATACAATAACTACAGATGTTCTGTCAGCAAGGGACGTTTTGAAGCTTTTTGTGGAAGGCAGCATACATAATATTTATAATATCCATATAAACTATAGTTCTACATGATATTATAGCACACTTTTTATGAATTGAGCTTTAAATATCCCCTGTTTGGAGAAAAATAAATACTAAACTCTGAAAATAAGCTGGGTGGGGGGCAAAATGTGTCAGTTTTTTACACTGTTATTTAAATATTGTATGAACAAAGGGGTAGAAGAGTAAAAAAGGGATATATTTTTGTATCTGTAAGAATGATGACTGTTTAGAAATAAATATTTTCGGAAAAAAAAGGCTCCCAGAAACTGTTTAGTGTCTAGACAGTTACTGAAAAATTTAGCTTACTTCCAGTTTACTACAATTAAGGTCAAAATTATTCCCATCTTCAGGCTGTGTGTGAATACCACTTGGTTTTGATTACGTCACACACCTTATTTTTATTTATTTATTTATTTTACATAAGCCAGAAATCTCTAAATCTGCCATGATCTCAATCTACATTTACAATAAATACAAGTAACTGTTCTGCATATTGCATAGATTAAAAAAAATTACCGTGCAACTTTTACACTCCTGGTTTTCCACCATCTCTTTTAGATGTGTGTTTTCAGATTTGATAACTTTGTATCGGAAATCCAACAACTAGGAGAAGATTCAGTTCTTAGTTAAATACGAGAATATTACTGTTAACTTGAAATAACGCTGAGTATAGATATATGTAAGTTTAACTTTACAAAATACACATAAAGAATTATGAAACTAACTATAATAATTTTTTTTTAATACAGCAATACTGAAGCAAAAAGAAGGCTTAAACCACCTATAAAAGATATACAAATGCAATGCCTCTGATTTTATTTACCTTTTTGAAAGAATAGTCACTTAAGAAAATAAGGGAGTTCACATGCAGTTATGAGATACAAAGAAGGACAGATCTTGCAGGCCACTAAAACTGGATGAAATCCTAGTCATGAAGCCCAGGAATGACATCCACTCTTTCAGTGATCAGTGACGATTGGGAATATGGCCTGGTAAAGAGTGCCATACAGTAGCAGACATCTCTCATTTTCCCAAACACTAACTTTCCTAGTGTCAAAAGTAAAGTATTACTTTAATCACAATTTTCAATATGCAGTGACCCTCTCAGAAAACTCAGAGATACCCAGAAACCTCTAAATATGAAGGTTCTTTTCGTTTATAAGACTAACTAATGAAGATAACATACTTGTTTTTAACACTGAAATTTACCATTAAAACACTGGTATCTTACAGTTTTCAGCTTTAAAATTACCAGAATTTTCTAAGCACATTTGAAACATTCTTCAAAAAGCTTTAAAAAAACCTGAAAAATTAGGAAACATTCTAGATAATCTACCAAACAGTTCTAATGATAAAGCACATATAATAACAACAAACTGGAAGTTTTCAAGATCTTTTTTGCATGTTAAAATGGTAACTACATTTGATGGTCAGAATGAATTGCAATTTAGATGTACAGTTGACATTTACTGGTGCTTTCTTGTTCCAGTATCAGTTTGGCTGCTTTAGTAATACTTCACAGATATTACAGCACTGCTGATGAAAGCTACAGCAAGAAATGTAATGTCTTGTTTCACAGATAATGTATGTCATTGTCAATAGTGTGGAGTAAAATGATCTAGGCTGGTTTTGCCTGCTTGCATACCTGTTGTTTTGCTAACAATTTGTCTTTTATCTCTAACTCCATTTTTAACTGTCTTTCCAGAAGACTAGCTTTCTTCATGATAGTTGCTATAGTGATCTCCTTCTGATGAAGCTCTTCTGTCAGGTCAGAGATTTCTGTCTTCATTCTTTCCTGCTCAGAGCAATGGGACTGCTCCTCTCGATAAAGATGGTTTCTTATCTGTAGCAAATATGTTTCAAAAAGAAAAAATGTTGTGCAGTAAATATGATTGCATCACTTACTACCTACTATTGACTTTTTTGCTGTTGCTTCCAAGACACCAACTTTTATAACCAAATCAGAGATTTTTGAGCTTTTATAATAAAATGTCTTCATGAGTCAGTGCACATAGCTTTATTTTTACATCTTTTTTCAACCATTGTGTTTTCATTTGCCTATTTAGTATTAGAAATGAACAAAATACAAGGCATTTAAATTAACATTTTAAAAGAATGTAATAAAAATGATGTTAATTTTAAGAATTGGAATTTATGGCAAGGAATATCCAAGGAAATATCCATTCAATAAACCTAAGTATGATTTACTTATATTACTCCTAAGTTAATTTAGGTTTAAAATAAGTTTAATGCAGCCTAAATTAACTTGGGAACAATATAAATAAATCAATCTAGAGACTCTTTAATGAGAAACTATGTTAGAAATAAGAAGTATATATGGTAAATCACTTTATGAGAATCTTTCCTGCCATTATATATAAAATTTAAGGTCAAACTTTCTGCACTATCTGCTGTGCAGAGTTCTCCAAAGAATCAACACAAAGATTGTTTTCATAATCTTTCTACTACAACCAACAATTCAGTACTGATAGATTTTTGTATTATGTAAGAAACAAAACTACAAAAGCCAGCATAACAACCTTTGAACCCATTTTAATTGTTCCTCACAGTACTGTACACAATCAGTAGCAGATGGCATTTCATTTTTATTTATGCAAACTACACAGAAATACTAGAATTGTAAACAAATAAATGTAGATGTGAAAAATCTAAGAGCTAGATCATGACTATCATGCCAAAATTGCTGCATCCAAGTCAGCTGCATCCAATTAGAGATATTCCTGCTTACATTGCTACTCAGCAAAACCACAACTTGCCTGTAAGAGGAGTTCTGAGCATCCTCTGCTCCCAAAGTGTTTTGGCCTGCCAAGCCATATGCTATTCCACAGTGCCATGCCACTACTGCACTTCTGAAATGTGCAATGCAATGTGATGCATAGTTCAAATGAAAGAGCACTGCCCTAGACCATGCAGCAGGTGACTGATTAAGCCTAGCTTTGTGTGGGTACCTGCCATAGTGACCTATATCAGCTGATCTGATAGCGTATCTTACATCTGAGACCACCTACAAACTACTACTTACCTCCTATAGCCTGTGAATTACTCATAGCCTTGGAGAGTTTATTACTTGCAAGGTATTATCTGAATCACAGTGATGCTTAGGCATGGTCTCTTCCATTATTTCAATGAAGTAGCTAGCTCTGTTGTTAGTGCGCAGAATCAGAACGTCAGCTGTACAGCTATACGGCTACCTCGAGAAATGCAACCATATATGAAAACTTTTTCATATATGAAAACTTCATATTCTCCTAAAGCCACAAGTTATCCTCCGGCTCTCTTCTACATATACACATACCCAAGGTCAGTACTCTGATCTCTTTTTAAAATCCCATATTGCAGTTAAGATCTGGAAATACTTAACAATATGAAATACCTTGTTTAGCTCTTCTCGTTGGTGTTCTTGACTTTGTGCCAATAGTAATAACTCAGCGTTTTTATTTTCTAGTTGCTCAGTAAGTTGTACACAAGATGATTGATGCCTTTAAATAAGAAATAAACAAAACATGAAACAAGCAGAACGTTCAATAACCTTTACCTTACAGTATCCTCTCCTCAGCGTAGGACTGTTGAAGACCTGCTCACTGATGAAAAAAAAACAACCAACCAAAAGATTTGGCCTAAACCAGGTTCAATCTTGGAAGATATCTAGATATTAAGGACAACGCAAGTGTGTGCAAAAAGAATCCTGAAATGTCGTGTAGAATTAGTACTTCATATAATCTCAAATAGCTATGGTAGATTAGATAAACCATAAAAAGATGAACATTTTACTCAAAGGAGGTTAGGGAGAATCTTAATTGCACTACTTCCAAAGTGTTTTAATGCTGAGAAAATGAAAGGCACTGTAAATATATAAATAGAAATAAATTAAATGCATTGATTTGCAAAGATCTAGGCAGCATTAAAGCCTTTTAACAGAGCCTGCATCCGTTGCCTGCAATCTTGTAATATATAATTGCTAATGAAATTGTTTATTGTAAAATTGTTTAGAATTTGACTTTTGAATCCAGAGTATCTTTTTAAACAGACTTAATTTAAATCAAATGTAAGAAAAGTTATTAGCTCAGAAGTACTTGTTAATTTAAATATTGTCTTCAACATACATACTTTATTTGAATTTCCTGCATATCTTTATACTCTCTGATTTTCAATAATTCTGTATGCAACTGTTGGCATTCCAGTTGTATCCTTCTCCAGAGAGCATCCCGTGACTGCAGCTCATTTCTCATTTCTGAAAAGCCTGCCTCCAAGTTCTAAAGAAACAAGCAAATATATAAATAGTTAAATAAAATAAGACAGTAGCTCAAAATTCTGTACTTCAACATATAATTTTCAATACCTGTATAATTTGTATGAAAGGACATACAGGCTTTTATTTTGAGTTTCATTTCTGAAAAAGGCATTGTTTTCATGTCAGTTCCTTTCTCCAGAAATGTCATCTAAAAAATCAGATGCTGAATATTCTTTAGCTCTTGCAATGTTCCAATGCATCTGTCTCTGAAACTATCATAGGAAACATCATTCAGAAATTCTTTATTGTACTAAATGCATCTGTCGTACATAGTGGGCTTGTTTCAGCGGGTTCTGCACTCTCGAACATGATTCACATGCAGGAATTAGTGCCATAAGTAACTTGCATTTTCTATTTTCCTAATAGCATTTCCAAATTTATAAGCTTGAAAAGTACAAGGCTATAGAAAGGCAGGATTAAGTACATGTCTTCATTAAACAGTGCCTGGAAGCTTGGAGCAGATACATCTAGACTTTAGTACTTAGATAAGGTGTGTGCTCAATCATCTCCAAAACTAGTTCTATCTGCATGGAGCTAATTGCTTATTTAATGAATATCACAAAATTTTAAGCAATCACAAAAAGATTTTTCTTAGTGACTCCACAAATCTTGTCTCTATTTTACCTTTAATTTCTGATTGATAATGTGATAGACAACCTGAAGATACATGTTATATTTGGCATCATAAAATCTGAATTCTCAAAAAAACAGAATTCCCCCAAAATATACTGAAAACATACTAAAGATAACAACTTGGAAATATAACCCACAAATAACAAAAGTAGCAATAATAATCAGATTCTTGCAATAATAATATCCAGAAAATACTTATTTCCTCTCACCCAACATCCAAAAGCATGTTCCAGATAAAAAAAAAAGGATTTTACAAGGATGTTGGTCCATTGCCATTAAAACTATTACACTAAAAACACTAGTATTGTTCATAATTTCTTCATTTTATTTTAATATAGTTTCCATGTTTAAAAGCAAAAATAAAGCCTTTAAACTTTCAAAAGACAACTGGAATCCAGAAATGACACCGCAAGCAAGGAACTTCAAAGGTTTATTTTCCTTAGAGCCTCTTACTAGAATGACTTTCCTTCCAAGAAGCCTGTGGTTTTCCTCTGGCTGAAAGGGCTGCTGAAGACAGATATGAAGCACTTTTACATTTTTTTATAGGGACTGCATATACAGATTCATTCATCTTATCCTTTGTTAAACTAGGGCTTAGAGAGCTTTTTTAAACCCTGAAATGCAAGTCTGGACATATTGAAGTGAAATAAAGCTTAATGAATTGTTAAAATTGTCTGCAAGACTTGCTTATGATCACCTTCATGATTTCAACATTCAAGAAATAGCCACAATTATTTTATAATATATGAATCTGGGGGAGGGTTACTCCTCTGATTTCATTCTGGGGTGTATAAGGGGAATGAATGCTGCACAATTGTGTGGTGGAAGTCATATCATCTGTGGCAGACTGCAGTTATCATACATATTTGCATAAATTGTATTTTTTTCTGTGAATTATAATAATAGCAGGAACAACAGCAGCCACAGCAGCAGCCACAATAATAACTGAAACAGAACTTCAGGTCAAGAGTTTCACACATCTCTTCAAAAAATCATTTATATATGTATCACATTATTTTAGGAAATATCTATTGCATCTAGTTAAAACACCAAAATGAAAATTAATTTTGAACCAGAAAACTTTAGGGTTTTTTTAGAAAATATCTAATGAAATATAACTTTCTAAGAGTCTGTTTCAAGTTGAAAAATTTACCAAATCCTCTCTTTTCTTTTGTGAAAAGTTTTGCTTCAACTAGCTTGCCGTGTGTGATATCAAAAGGAAGTCTCAAAAATTTCCTGATCAACTCCTGTTCTAATTCTACTCAAAGCTGTTCAACCTTTTTAATACAATTATATGCTGTATTTCTATGTAAATTATTGTCCAGCAACTGACTTAATGCAGACTTTCCAAGAACCAAGCCTCCTGTGTGATGTTTTCAGACTGCCTCTCATGGCTGCAATTAAGTTTTCAGACCATTCATAAGTTAGAGAAATAGTCTGCAGTCTTAGTTTGGATCTTCTAAAGTTCGTATTTTCTGTACAGCCAACAAATTGGTCTTCCATACGTTTCACTTTATCACTGTTTCCTTGCTAATTAATAGTATAGAGAAATATTTAGAAGCAGACATGAAATGGGCATAGGCATAGAAGATATATGAGGCACAATTCTACACTTGCTGCCATTGCCATCAGCCTTCTCCCCAGCATGATTCCCATCTACTCCTCCCTCCTTTACCTACATCAGGTCCAGCTATTCCCACCCTCCACCTAGCACTCTGTCACACAAACCTGCTTACTTCTTCTGGCTGACAACAGGCCTTACACTTCCTTCTTTCTCTACAGACATTCCTAAAAAAATATTTTCTCTGAGCTACACAGTTTCACCATACATTGACTTTACATCAGTGTTTCCCCTCTGCAGCTATTTGCAAATGTGGCTTTTCTAACTAACATAGCAGTATTCCACACCACCTGCACAGTTATTCTGCAACTTTCTGCCCTTTAGCTCATAGTGTTATGTACATCTAGCTCCACTTCTACTTAAAATGTCTTCAGTGCTTCCTACAGCTCCTGTATTCTATTCACAGAATTCCAAAAATCCTCTTGCCTGAAGATTTTCTTAAAGGCTACAGCACAATGACATCTACTCTCTCCATCATACAGCATCTATCCACTTGCTCCAATTGCCATAGAATAGAACAGAACAGAACAGAATAGAATAGAATAGAATAGACTATTTCAGCTGGAAGGCACCTACAACGATCATCTAGTCCAACTGCCTGACCAATTCAGAGCTGACCAAAAGTTAAAGCATGTCATTAAGGGCATTGTCCAAATGCCTCATAAACACTGACAGGCTTGAGGCATCGACCACCTCTCTAGGAAGCCTGTTTCAGTGTTTGACCACCCTCTCTTGGTAAAGAAATGCTTCCTAATGTCCAGGCTAAACCTCCCCTGGAGCAGCTTTGAACCATTCCTACGCGTCCTATCACTGGCTACCAGAGAGAAGAGATTAGCACCTCCCTCTCCACTTTGATTTGTCCCACTCCATATTCTAGTCCCACTACTTTTGATGGCAGCATTTTTAACAGACCCCAAAACAGAGGTTTTTGCTTGCATAACGATAACTTGCATACAGGCAAATAACTCAGTGAACTGATATGCAAATGAAATGTATAGACAACACATGTGCTAAACTTGGCTGTTCTGACAACACCTGAAATTAGCCTCCACCACATATATGTTAATTCCTATGAAGTATATTGCATATGAAGTTATAACTCTGCAAGGTTGTCTATAAACAGAAATAGATTATTTTTCTCCAGAAAGAGTTGAAGTCACTGTAGGCCACTCAACATATTACTGAACCTTGAAGTGCTTAAATAAATATGCAAAAGCATAATATATATATGTTACCAGAAAAAAATAGCAATGAGAATCTCATTCCTGATCTGTTTCAATCATAAGTAATAAAAAAGGCTGTAAAGATCTTGTATTATCTGAATCTTGTCAGAACTCATTTATCACGACCAAAAGAAGAGGTCCAAATGGCTGTCTTCATAGATCAGTGCTACATTGAAAAACAGTACACTAGGGATAAGATAAAAACTGATGGTTCTTCATGTGGCTGGCAACTTAAAAATTCATTGACTGCAAAATCTTCTCTCAGTAATAAAGTATATCATAAACTTTTCTACATACTTATTTACTAGCTATATGGCACAGTGTACAACAAGGTGTAAATCAGATAAAGAGATTTCATAGAAGTCATTTATACACAAGGAACGAGGCTAAGTTCCTGTAGATGCTACGGATACAGGAAAGTTATAAAACCCTAGATAAACAGACAAGAATAAAATATACTACTACATATCAAACATATTTCTGTTTTCTCTTTAAGTGTTACTCAAAAAATTCTACTGTTCACAGCTCATTCTGTGTTCCTGCAAAGAATATACCTAATGTACAGATCTTTTATATAGGCATCTCAGTACAACTTTTTAAAATATACTCCTAAGTAATTAATGCTCCAACATTAATTCCACAGTCATCGTGAAAAAGAAAAACTATTACTACCTGGCACTGGTTTTGGTACATTTTTAGATCCTCCCGGAGTTTCAGATTTTCCTCTTCTAGTTTATTCTTGTTTATTGCTATTTCATTCACAGTTGCCTTTAGCTTTTCAATAATCAGCTCATCCTTTTCACTTTCGGGCTGGCCATAGGTAATTACCTCTTCTTGGTTTTGTTTCTTATTGCTTATTTGGAATTGATAATTCTGGGTCTGCTTCTATAAAACAAGAAAATCTTTTAAATGAAATTCAATAATTATATGTAAATTGTTAGGACCAAACCATTACTACTAAAATCATAAAGCTATTTGCATTTTCACTAGTACTTGCTTAGAAAAGATGGCACAATTGGAACAGTTTGCATTACTTCTCTAAAGGATACTTCCTTTTTTTTAGTCTCAAGTTCTTTGCCCTCAGTAAGAAAAACGTTTCAGAAACTTTCAAGGGCACAGAATTTTTTCAAGGATTTTTCTCCTCTGCTGTGTATTTTCCTAGCACTTAATGTTAATTAGCCCCAAATGTGAAAAAGGTGATTATGATGACCTACTCAAAGCAGTTACCTATAAAAAATAATTTGAGAGAAATTTCTTCTTTGATTCATTGAACTCAGTAGGAGTTGTGGGTGTGTGTGCCTCAGGATAGATATTAACCTTTGACTAGAGGGCTAGCATTACATAGTTCATGTATAAACAGCTCAGTTACTACAGTAACTGTACTTCTTTGATATCATTATCCTTAAACCTGGGGAAGAATCAGCACATTCTGCAGAGTCCCACGCTCTATTCAGTTTCTTGTACTAATTAAAATCCTAAACCCAAAACTTCAGAAAATTGATATTGCCAGTATTTGTGAATTCACAAGCATCGTGAAGAAGCATAATTACTATGGTAACTTTTTTGCTGTTTAAAAAATTATCCACATGAATCCCTCTACTGGGAGATTAACAAGCAGCAGTAATCTTTCAGAAGACTGAGAATTAGCTGAAAAATGACAACAAAATATAACCTGGAAACCATGTATCATGTGCAGATACCAAGCTGAGGAAGAAAATGTATATTAATAATAAATAGGGTTACAAATACCATATTTCATTGATAAGGACTGCAAAAAGGCATGCTTTACACAGCTTTTGATGTCATTGACTATGTTCCCATAATTTGTGTTGGCTGAACACCTAACTAGAACTGACCACTGGCTGCATATCAAATAAAAAGCCAAATAAATTTGCAGGTAAGTTTAATTTCTATAGATAATAAATTAAGGTCTTCCTGACATCTAAATTATGGAGACTGACACACCAAAATGACAAAGCATCCTGTGAAAAATATAGTCCAGCTGGAAATCAAAGACCTCACAAAAGAGGAATTTGAGACAAAGACACAGGACCAATTAATGCTTTTCAAACAGTTAAGGGGTAATAGTCCATCAGACTTCTATTTAATAAACTAGTCGGTGTTATGTTACAGTTGTGAAGAAAATTGTCTTCAAAGAAAGTTCACTGATGGCAGTGATGTAAGCCTCAACAGAAAAATGTGGGTGATCACCTTGAGCACTATATTTTGGCTTGTCTAACTATATAATCAACATGCATCAGTCAGTAGTTTTGTCCAGTCAAAGCCTTGCTTTTTTAACACGTTTGTATGGAAGTTCAATAGTTGCAATATAATGCTTTCGGCATCTAGAAACAAAACTTAACTGTCATCCTTGGAAACTCTGGATATAAATAAAGAGTCCCATAGGAATTGTTAAGAAAGTGTTTCACTAGATTAAGATCCAAGGAGCTTAGTAACAATGGAAAACGGGATTACCAGTCAGCAACATAATTGGCTTCCCCTTACTTAATTTTCAAGCTGTCTTGTGGCCCAGTTAATTTGTAAGTTATTTTCTAATTTTTTTTAGAGTAGCATAGCTCATCGAGACGTCATTAAATCAATATTTTGTTCTGGATTGGAAGGAATTAAAAAAATAAAAATATGCTAGATCAATATAAAAAAAGTAATAAGCAAATTAGCAAGTAAAAAAGAATGACAAAGTCAACCAAAGACTGATTGGTAACTTGAAAGCTGAAAGATATGATAAAAAAGGGATAAGTGATCTAACAAACAACTCCAAGTGTGATTTTGGAGTAGCGTGCAGAAATTCAGAAATTCAGAAATGTTTCTGCATAAATTATATTAATGTATATTTATGATCTTCAAAAAAATGAGGGCTATCTTAGATTTGAGGGAACTTTATATTTGAGTCAACATAGTAATGGCATGTTTTACTTACTCCGTAAGATACTTTTCAATAACTTGCCATCACAATTAAATGCATATTAGTAAATAGCATAGAAGATAAAATTATCTCCACAATATACTTTAAAAAGTAAAAAGGAACATGCACTGCTTTTTGCAGTTTTTTTTAATCAGAAATATTGTAATTTTTATCATGATACATATTCATTTTCTCATTTTAATGAGAAAAATAAAATTCAAATAACTACATATCATTAGATCTTTCAGTATGGGTCTGCCTTACCTAAAGCAATGTATTCACTACCAATATATCCATGTACTGTCAGATTCACTATAAGCTTAGGGGTGTTCAGATTTTTTTTTTAAATTAAGTTAAAATAACTCTAGCTGAGCTAATAGCTCATTTTCTTCCTAAAGCAGGAAGGTAGGAATTTTACCTGAAATAAATTACATTTCTCGGACAATAATTTTTGTTGAGCATCTAAATAAATGAGATAATTTTGGCAGATTTTCCCCTTCTTATCCCATTCTCTTGATTTTGCCTTAAATTCCTGAAAGACAGCAAAACAAGGCTAGTAAACACAGGGAAAATAACTTTTTCCTTAATCTAAATAACTTTGTAATTTGTATAGTTCTAAGAAAAATCTGTTTTTTTAATTAATACATAATCATTCCATAATTTTGGAAAGAGGAAAAAAAGAACAATGATATAAGTCAGCCATCCAGCCATGCCCACCAGAAAAAAATCCAGTCTTAAGGGCTGTTAATCTGAAAAAATTGGGGAGTAAACATAAACATTGAATAAAAATGATAAAATATTTTAAATCGCTTCCATTGCTGTAGATCTTAGAGTTATGATTATAATATACCCATTTTATTGGAGGTAGTTCCTGTGACTTTAAAGTTATATCAGTGTCAAGTACAGTAGTCAGCAGGGAATCAAACCCTTGATATTCACACAAATGTTTTGAGTGCTTGCTTTTTTCTTTTTTTTTTTTTGAATAAACGGGACAGCAGCAACTGTGAATAAATTTTATTTCTTGCTCTCTTTACAATTGCTGCTTCTGGTTCTGAGTTCACCTAGTTTAAATAAAAACTTGTTTAACAAATTCAATTATATCAGATTTATCTAATACTGGTTTTGTATTTGCACTTATATTCCTATTTACAGTATATTTGAATTTGCTCTTAAATCATACCAGATCTTACATGTTCACAACTAGACTTTAAAGGCACTACCTTACAAAATAAGTAGAACTCCAGTTACTAGAGCCATTGCTCTTTTAGTTTGAAGAATTAGCAAAGAATTAGTGAAAAGTATAATACTTACAAGCTGTTATGAGAACTTCCTTTTTCACAATTAAAATGTTGATTCCAAAAAGATAGATGATTTTTTATAATTATCCTAAACTAGCATATTCCCCAAATTTAAAAAAATAAGATTTTATTTGCTACTGAAACAAAATCGAATGCTTTCCAACATGGATTAATACAAATCTTCTCTTATAGCTTTCCTAATATCTGCTTTGGCATTTTAAACCAATAAACATCTTCCCGTGTTACAAAATGTGATTGATACAAATGGAGTTTCACACTACTTAATGAGGACTGCAGGTTCAAGGCCTTACTAAAGCACTGCTGAACTTAGTAGATTTTCAACACAGTAATTATTTCCTGAATACTAGAATTTGCTGAATATATTCCAAGCACTCATTTTTCATACTGCATAATTAATCAAATTATAGCATTGTGTTACAATATTTTCACATCTTAATCTTGAATGACGTCATTCTCAAATTAGCTGGATCAGACAGTTTCACAGTAGTGATATATTTAGTCAACGATAGATGTATAACCCATTTATTATTCTTGTAGTAGCGGATGTTGGCAGCTATGCTGCAGTACAAAGCATAATAGCTTTTCTGATGGTAAGGACTCTTCCATGTGGAAGAGACAGCAACATTATGTAGAGCTAGGATGTGTCTAGGATGTGTCCTATTATGTAGAAACAGTCACATGAAGGTCACAGAAGTTAGTCCTGTATCTTACAGAATAACACAGAAGATAGGCAAGCCCAAAATAAATATTCTAAAACCCTTCTTAATTGCAGCATAAGTATGAAAGTACTTAAAAGCTATTAGATCTTAAATTTTTGATTGCAAAGTTCTCAAAGTGTCTAGATAATCTGTATCATAAATCTACATAAATCTACATCATAAACCTGTAAGTCTTCACAATGCTTAGCAATCAGGCAACTAGCTCACACTTTCAACTGCTATTCCTCTGCTTACTTTCCCTATGGGACCCAGTTTAGTAAACTCTTGAAGCACACACTACTTTATTATGCTCTTTACAAAGGATGGCCAGAGAAAACGTAAATTTTTTTTGTGATACTTTTATGCTTCATCAGGAAGACTCAGTTTAATAATCTTCTCTCCAGACAGAATCTGAACCAGAATATTCCCATGTCAATTTTCTACCTAACAAACAAATGTTATTTTTCAACAGGCTCTGGAATTCTTCTTTTTGAAGTTGTTTCACTTTGCACAGGATACCAGCAAATTTATTGGATAAGCAAAAAAGAAGAAGTAAAAATTACTACAGCTAGAGATTACATCGCTCAGTTATAAGAAATGAGACTGGATATCAGTTTCTGCACCAGTGAATGTAGCCAGAAGAGTATTTGGGGAGAAGCCACCACTTGGAGGCACACTCTCTATATGCCAGTTCTCTGTGCTGGCTAACTCTCCTGTTGGCCCAATAAATATTTGATTATTCCACAGATCACAAAGTAACTTCTAACTCTGAGAAGTCAAGTCTGGGAATTATGATCAGAAATCAGCATCTTCCTGTATCCAAGAAGAAGTTGGCTAAAATCCATTCTGCGTCCAGAGGGATAGGAAACATGACTGAATCCTGTCCTCAGCATCTCATAGTATCCAGCCCCCAGTCAGTATGCTGGATTCTGTAGAAAGTATTTTTAAGTGCCTAATCCTTCCTCATGTGTTACCTAAGGAAACTAGGTACTGAGGTCAAGGTTGTGGATTGCCTCAGGCACATGGGTACTGACAAGATATGTGTATAACAAACACTTTTCCAATCCTAAATGCTTTTTCTATCTAGCCCTACATGGTTGAAGTTGTCTATAAAACTTGAATTAATGGTAGGTATTATGTGGCAGTATCCTGCATAAGAAAAAGGTCTCATGCCTCAACAAATTATATTATCCAGTGCACATATATTAATCAGGAAAAAAGTAAAATTTATTTATTGCTATTCTTATGAAGAAAATTATCTATACTAACTCATAAAACTACTAAAAACACTAATAAAACTTGGATAAAAGAACAAAAGGTGAATATTAAACTATGCACCTTTTCTTGCCAGAGTAAGAAAATTATGTAATTTTTGTAGAATTATCAGGAAATTGAAGTTTACAACTGTAAACCACAAATTAGTTCTAAAGGCATATTAAAATTAGAATATAATAATAAAGTATTCTTACCTCCAGTTTCTTGTATAAATTACTCAATTCAGATGGTGTCTCTAGGCTTTCCTCACATTCTTCTCTACTTTCAACCTTTTTTTGTTTTAGCTGATGTGACTGTAGCTTTTCATAACTATGTGTCAACTTTGAAAACTAGAAATGAAAGCAGAGTTGAATATGCAGAATCTATCAAAGATGACCACATGGCCAAAGTATTCTTTAAACTAGAGTAGCCAACTGCAGCTTCAGCATTCTAAATATTTAATCAATGTAACAAAGAATCAATTAATAAAGTTTTCTTAGAAATAAAGAAGACTAAGGTCTCATATAAACGTTAACTAACTGTTCAAACGGGTTCATTTGACAGCTACTTAATTCTGCTGAAGTTCTTTATGGCACTGTTACCCGTAGTGTCATTTCCTCTACAATGTTTATATGAAATGTTCTATACTTGTTTACTGCCACCTTGTGTTGACATTTTTAAAGGGTGCTTCACTAGCCAGAATGAAGGATTATCATTAACGTATTTTAAACTTGCATGTTTCTTTTTTATCATGAAAATTGTTGAAATGTTATATATGTGATGATTGCATTCTTCTGGAACCATTAAGTACCAAAGACAATTAGACACTTAATACTGTTGTGCCTATTGATCTTACCATGAAAGCGTAGCTTAGGAGTCAGCAGCAAAGGAGTCAGAGGCAGAGAAAGGGAGGTAACAGTAGAAGCACCAGCCTCTTCAGAAGGTATCAGCCTCTTCAGAAAAATGGCCAGTCTGATCAACAGTTAGCTATACTGTACAAGCGAAGGGGCTAGTGGCCATTAACAGGTTTGATACAGCAAACTGACGTTGTCTGGTAGAGATATGTACATCTGGTTTTGCAAAAAAAAGGAAACCCAAGGATATTGACAAAGGAAACACTAAAAATATGGTCTTACAGGAAGAAGAATGAAAGAACTTTGTGAAGAATGTTGACTAGAAAAGAAGCTTACAACTATGAATACTGATCATGTCTCTTGTTGTTTTATTCCTTTAAATTCAGGTATATATGATGGTTTACATTCTCTATAATAATTATGACTTCACTTAAAAAATTCTGACTCTAATATGAAGGTCTTTGCCTAACCAAACAAAATCCATAAAATCTCATATTTTTGTTAACTGCTCAAGTGAACTACTGTCTGGAGAAGAAATTACTTCCAAGGAAGTAATTGGAAGTGGAATGGAATCCTAGTGAACCTACTTGGAATGAGCAATTGAAGTCTGTGCAGATAACAAAGATGGCCAAAAAAGTCCAGAAAAGATACAGAACAGAAACTGGAGTTAAAATATCATCTGGAAACTTCCTATAGACATTTAAGAAGATTTTGGGAACTCATAATATGGAACAGCAAAAAGAATTGAAAAGATGACCAGAAGATAGATTGTCCAAGACTAGAAAGTTCCATGAAATGGGGAGGTCCAGGGATAGATTTGACCAACTTGGAATTTCTGAACAGAAATCCTGTAACATGGACTTACAGAGCTGAGATACCGCCCTCAAAATGAAATCAAAAGTCTTGCAGAGAAGCTGCCTATATTTGAAATTGACCTTGCCGGAGAACACAGTTAAGAGAAAATATTTAAAATGGGTCAGATTATCCAGGCTCAAACAACATGGAACTCATTGTCTTTGGGAAAAAAGATAACCTTTTTCAAATAACAGGATTTTTGATCTTGAATATATTATGGCACATGTGAACTGCCTAGGAAGAGCAAACCCAGATGAAGACAGGTATTAGACTGTTCATGCTAAAAAGGCTAGGAAAAACAGGATCCCACACTTCAGCAAAACAGTCTAAAAAGGAACAGAATGGCCAAAATGAGAAAATTTAGTTTGAATATTAGATTTATTTAATGAAAGTAGGGTATTTCAGAAAGATTATAGTCTGGATGTTATCACAACGAGAAACTAGACTAAAAGCCAAGAATCTTTCCATTTAATACTGGATATTTGCTTTTAAAAAAAAAAAAGATGAGGCATTTTAGTGAGTTCTGGGGTAGGATTCATCTAAGTTTAGATTTCTGGAAGTTAGACATCCAAGCTGAGCTACTCTGCGTTAGAAAAAGCTGCCTCCAAATGCTTAGTCATTTCAGCTATCTTAAATTCTCATCATACACTGACATGAATTATATTCTAGGGGTGTCCATTTCCTGCCATTGATTCTAAAGGGAGCCTGAGGTAGCTCAGACATAGCCATCTAGCTTTTAAATGTCTAAGTGAGGCAATTAGTTGCCAAAATGCTTAGAGCAAGAATGGATTCTTGTTCTTTTGCTGAGGGATTTCTGTCATTTTCAAAATGAGAATAACTACTAAACATTAATATAGAAAAAATGAAGGACAGTAATGAAGATGAACCCTTAAAGTTTTTGCTATTTAATTATGACAAAATGTTGTACATTTGAATGAGTGCAGCAGTGGCCTAAGAGTTTCAGTTTACATATAAGGAATTATTTCCCTAATACAAGAAAAATACAGTTTTTACTGCATTCAACAGGCACACAATCAATTCAGTGGGAATGTTGCTCATTAAACAGCTGCTTTTATCAACAGCAAGGGTAAAAAGCACTGAGGACCACAGAAGCAGTGTATCAGAGAGAATTTTTTTCTGAATAGCCTAGCATTCTTAGAGCTAGAAAAAGTGATCCTTTCTATTTCTACCAAGATTAAGAAGGAACAAAAATTGGGAGGGATTTTAAGAATTCCTCTGCAGAGAAAGATACAATGCTACGGGTAAATAGTAACACTCTCACCATTTGTGCAAAACTAAATTGTAGCTCTGAAGATTATACAGTGTAGAAGGAGGTATAACTTTCAAGTAAGGATAAGAACCAAAAGAAGGGAGACAAAGGAGATAAGGAAAGATTAATATTGTCAGGGAAACTCTGTATTTTAGATATGAGTTTGTGCAGCTGAGAATTGGAGACATTAAAGTCATCCTATTGTAGACACTGCAGCACTGTAATTTAAGAAAGAAACTCAATAAGGAGACATAGTAAAAGCTAGAGGAGCAGAGTGGGATAGTCCTACTGTCTAGCAGAGGTACCTGGAATTGTTCTGACAGGCAAACTTTCTGTTTATCACCTAGAGAAGCTAGGCAGGCCTCCTAACTTAGGCACTTAACAGTTTCCTTCTTCGGTCAATGTGTACTGGATGGATATTCCATGAAGAAACACAGTTTGGTGAAAGGGGAGGAATGGGAATCAGAAAATAAAATGTGAACGGCATCAGTGCTGGAACCTTTGCTAAAATAAACAGCATGACTGAGAGAGAATGAAATGTTTGGAGGCATAGATTGGGAAGGTGATGTATATTCTTAAGAGCTAGAAATCCAAACTTCTTGCATAAAGATAAAAGGAGAAGCAACCAGAAAACTCAAAGAAAGGTTAGGTGGTCTGAGTGGCAACGAAAAAGGAGAATCTTGGCAAGAAGTATAACCAGGTTTACAGAGAGAAGCTTGTAGGTTAGGAAGTGTCAGATTCTTTTAAACACAGAGAAAACAGATTTTATTTACCATGTTTATTGGGTTTGCATGGCAAGGTTTTTGTA